GGGCAACTGGACTTGGTTGAAGCTACTGGAAGACGTTTCGTCCCTTATCCAAAGGACTTCAAAACATCACTATCCTACCTGCGGACAAAGGGAGATGCACGGTAGTACTTAACACAGCTGACTACCAGAACAAAGTCAACACACTACTAATGGACACAAACACGTATGAGACACTGAGACGAGACCCAACCAGCGGATACAAGAAAAAGGCCATAGAATGTCTACAACAGTTACAGAAGGACAACACCATCACCCGTGAACAATATTACCGTTTGTATCCTGGAGAAGCCATTCCATGCATTTATGGACTACCCAAGATACACAAAGAAGGAGCCCCACTCAGGCCGATTATCAGCAGCATTAACTCGGTCACCTACAACATTGCCAAACACATTTCCACCATCTTAGCTCCATTGGTGGGAAACACGCCTCACCACATCCAAAACTCTATTGACTTTGTAAACAAAGTTCGAGGACTAAAACTGGATCCAGATGAAACCATGGTATCCTATGACGTGACTTCTTTGTTCACCTGCATCCCCACCATAGAGGCAGTAGAAACCGTTAGGAAACGGCTAACACAAGACAACACCCTGGACAACAGAACTAGCCTCAGCCCTGACCAAATCTGCAAATTACTCGACCTCTGTCTAAACACCACCTACTTCCAGTACAACGGTGGATTCTACAGACAGAAGCATGGCTGTGCCATGGGCTCACCGGTATCCCCGATTGTGGCCAACATCTACATGGAAGAAGTGGAGAATAAAGCCCTCAACTCCTTCAGAGGAACAGCACCGAGCCCCTGGTACAGATATGTGGACGACACCTGGGTCAAAAACAAAAGCCAGGAAGTGCAAGCCTTCACAGAACACATCACCTCTGTGGACAGTAACATCAAGTTCACACGAGAAGATGTTCACAACAACAGTTTGGCCTTCCTGGACTGCGCTGTTCACATTGAAGAGGACAGGAGCCTGCAGATTGGTGTTTACAGAAAACCCACACACACAGACCAATACCTACTCTTCGATTCACACCACCCACTGGAGCACAAGCTAGGGGTCATGAGAACACTGCACCACAGAGCGGAAAACATACCAACAAGCGCCCAAGCCAGAGAGAAGGAACAGAACCACCTGAAGGGGGCACTTACAGCCTGTGGATACCCTAAATGGGCTTTTGTGAAGACAGCCACAAAATCCAAGAAGAACAAAACTACAGGGGAGGAGGAAAAGAATGTCAAACGCAACAACATTGTGATTCCATACGTGTCTGGAGTATCAGAGAAACTCAGGAGGATTTTAACAAACATAACATCCCTGTGTTTTTTAAACCCAAGAACACACTAAGACAGATGCTGGTACACCCCAAAGACCGCACACCCAAACACAAGAAAAGAAATCTAGTGTATGCGGTCCAATGCAGTGAGGAATGCACAGACCTGTATATTGGGGAGACTAAACAACCACTACACAAACGCATGGCTCAACACAGAAGGGCCAACTCCTCAGGTCAAGACTCTGCTGTCTACTTACATCTGAAGGACAGAGGACACTCGTTTGAGGACCACCAGGTGCACATTTTAGACAGAGAAGATGGATGGTTTGAAAGAGGTGTCAAGGAAGCCATCTACACCAGGGTTGAGAAGCCGTCATTGAACAGGGGAGGGGGTCTACGCCACCACTTATCCCCCACTTACAATGCTGTCCTTTCATCACTTCCCAGGAAACTCAACAAACGTAACCTATTGGCCTCAGGTGAAGATACCAACGATGGTCGTTCAGTCTTGGCCTCAGGTGAAGATACCAACGGTGGTCGTTCAGTCTTGGCCACAGGTAGTCTCAACGACTGTAACGACTGTCGTCACAGCAACAAGGAACACTAACGAACCAGCGGTATCGATGACCCGAGATAACGACCCCACTGAGGTTAAATAGCTGAGTTTCCCTGCCAGTCAGTCAGAACTGAAGAAGTCCTTTGGATAAGGGACGAAACGTCTTCCAGTATCTTCAACCAAGTCCAGTTGCCCTTCATTTTAACCTTCGTTGGATAACTATGACCTGGATGACTGAGAATCTTCATAGACAATGACTGATGAAGTTTTTTTTTAATACTGTACAAATCCAGTGTGTATATTGAAGAGGCTGTAAGACAAACTAACATCACTTTGCAGTTGATGAGAGAATGTGATTAATGTGTGGATAAACATTGTGAACTGAAGTGAAAAATCAAATTAGTGAAAAAAGGAACTGAACAATTCATCACACACAGGATACCATGCAGTGTATAGCTGTACAGGGGGGGTTACATGTGTATACACATAATGACTGACCTTATCCATGCTAGCTTGATTGAGTCTCATTATGGAGGCATGGGCCAACCTGTCGAACACAGTCCGGAGAGCTTTTTTGGAGTAAAGCTCCTGTGGCTTGAAAAGCTCTTCTAGGAACTTTTTGTTGAACATGGTGGTGATGATGTCATTCATAACTAGTCAGGCAAACAGTACAACAGAAAAGTACACAAAAAGTTAACTGAGGTTAGACAAATGTACTTTCTACACCTTCAGATTCAGAAGCAGGCAGATGAGCATCTATTCTACAAGTCCAGAACCATTTCATCCAAAGCCTATCCCAACAACCCTAATAAAGCAGCAGCATGGAAAGCCATCAGCATATGTCCTACTTAGCAGGGCAACAGAATAGCTAGGTAGGAAAACTTTTGTGTTTGAGCTATGATTACTTCTATCAGTCACTGTAGCATTTGGCAGAAGTGATCACCATCATTGTTATGTCAGTCAGAGCTCAAACCGATCACCTTTTCCAAAAATTAACTAGATTCTGGATTTTTTTGTTTTTGGCTCAAGGGTGAGGAAAATAAACTTGCTTAACACAGCAAAGCTCAGTAGTGTTTTCGGCTACTTACCCATAAGGAAGCTCTACTACTAAAAAGGAGCTGTGAAAAATGAAACACTGCTCTCAGAGCACCTCAGATGAGCTTCTTGATACGTGCAGTTTTTTGAGGTAAGGGACAATTTTATGTAGTGTTTATATTATGGAATATAGTGTGTGTTTCGTCACATGTGGTATTTTGGCCTACTTGGTAGATTGAAATACTTTTCAATGTGATGAATAAATAATGTAAATATTGATCACTCTTTTAAAAACATCTCCCATCATTGTAAACCTTACCATACAATGAAGGCCCCCGATAACCAATAAAGTTTGTGGCCAGGACCTGAGCATTTGAGTGACCCAGCCACTCACATGATGTACCTAGAGTACGTGCAGAGACAACCGCAGTAGTTGTGAGTTGATCTGTGCACATGAGGTCTATAAGTCCTATTATTTATTCAGCGTGTTGCTTCAGTCTAGGACAAAGCAGAGCGCAGAGCTACTAATGCATCGGTGCACGATCATACTAAAGCTCTGTAATAATACCTCTCCTTCTGTCCTCCTCTATCCAGCCAGCTATTGTGGAAACGTTATGAATTCAAAGGAGATAGATGAGGAGAAATGATGTTCTGAAAACCAGGTTGATGAATGACATCTCAAGACTTGACCAATGTTGCTGCATATTAAAATGACATAACTTAGATCGTATATACAGCCTATGGCAGAACAGATTCCCATGCACTGACAATAGAGCATTACGAATTGATATCTGTCCCGGGCTCCCAATTAATGGGACATTAATTGACATGACATTAATTAATGTCTGTGTAAGTTATGATTTTATCAAACTATGTGGCTTTACAAAAGATAACCACATGGCTCATTTATGTTAACTAACTCTCGCCTTGCATTTGTATGGACTTTTTCTGAATCACAGAAACTTGTTATCAATTCACTAACCAATAAAAGGACAAACCGACTGAATAAACATTATCGCAGCGTAAGTTAACGCCGACGTTTTCCTGCAGGGTGACATCTGTGTTGTTATCTGGATAGCTGCTAAGCTAGCCAAGCTACCTTTCTTAGCTTTGTCAGCAGGGATATTCTGAGCTCGAAGCCGCTGGTCCAGGATGTACAACATTTCTCCGCCGAGGTTGATGAATAGCAGAGGCAGTGTTCTTGAGGACATGATGGTATTTGGGTGGTTGAATCTCTCTTGAAAGCGTAAGCTGGCTAGCGATTGTAGATAGCAGGAAAGCTTGCCGATAGGGGGTCTGTCTGTTGGGTAAAGCCTCTTCTGGTTGCCAGGCCACGAAGCAAACAGCCAATCAGAGCGATATGCGTTCTGACGTACGAGGAAAAGAAGAGGTCAGGCGGTGTGAATGATATTGGCCTGACTTTGTGCCGCATATTGCACATGCAATTAAATCGCAATATGTGTCTGAACAAACCTTGCACCATAGTGAGTGACAGCAGTGGATCCAACCTACAGGGCACAAAGATCCTTCTCTTATTTCTGATTTGTGCAGAAGATTGCACATGCAATTAAATCGCAAATGTTGAAAATGAGACTTGACAATAAAAAATATATACAAACTCAATGAATTTATGCATTGTGTTTTCATCAGATTTGAACAAACCTTGCACCACAGTGAGTGACAGCAGTGGTTCCAACCTACAAAGCAACAGATCCTTCTCTTGTTTCTAATTACGCTTCTGTTCTTGTGAAATAGTGAATACTTTAACCACTGCAAGCCTCTATAAAATCCTCCTCATGAAAAAATTGAAGAGGGAAATTACTTTGTTTGAAATGCTCTCATCTGATGTCCTTGTGATAAAGTGTCACAAGTTCACACATTATTTTCAGTGGTCAGGTCACTAAGCCAAAAACATTGGGATTAACTGGTTTAAGAAATGGTTAATATTCACCAAAATAATCCACAAAGGACACATTTTCTTGTCATAGCACCATGTGGATTATCACATCTTAGGTTGCTATATAATTTCCTACATTAAAAGGAAATTAAATAACATTAAACAATCCCATTTTTATTGCAAATGTTGTACAAAGTGGATCATGTTTAAATGTAATTAATGATGTTGTGATTGATTTAACAATGCAATTTATTTACAGTAATGCAAATCAGTAGCACTTCGTCACACTGTTACATAGGTATATTATAAGGCAACAGGTAAAATCACACTTAATACATTGAATTGCATAATTCATTAGCTGCTCCTTCTTTATTGTTTGCATGAAAGCTAGGCCTGCTACAGGCAAAAACACCAATCATAGCGTTGTGCATTCTGACGTACATGGAAGGGAAGGGGTTAGGCAGTGTGAATTTTTCAATATAACCGCAGTGTGTATCGCAGTGTGTATGGACTGTGTATGACTTTGTTCAGTAGATTGTACATGCAATTAAATCGCAAATGCTCCAAAGGAGACTTGAAAATAAAAAAGAAAACATACAAACTCAATGAATTTATGCATGGTGTTTTCATCATATCTGAACAAACCTTGCACCACAGTGAGTGACAGCAGTGGTTCCAACATACAGGGCACCAGATCCTTCTCTTGTTTCTGATTTTGCGTCTGTTCTTGTGAAATACTGAATACTTTTACCTCTACAAGCCTCTACAAAATCCTTCTAATGAAAAAATTGGAGAAGGAAATTACTCTTTTGTTGAAATGCTCTCACCTGATGTCCTTGTGATAAAGTATCATAAGTACACACATTATTTTAAGTGGTCAGGTTCACTAAGCCAAAAAGAGTGTGATTAAATGGTTTAAGAAAGGGTTAATTATAACCAAAATAATCCACATAGGACACATTTTCTTGTCTGAGCGCCATGTAGATCATCATATCTTAAGTTGCTATATAATTTCCTACATTAAAAGGAAATGAAATAACATTAAACAATATTTTTATTGAAAATGTTATACACAATGGATCATGTTTAAACGAAATTTTTGATGTTGTGAGTGATTGAACATTGCAATTTCTTTACAGTAATGCACTTTAACAGCACTTTGTGACACTGTTACACAGGTATATTTTAAGACTATAGGAAAAATTATGGAATGGCAGGAATTGCATAATTCATTAACTGTGCCTTCTTTGTTGTTTCTATCAAAGCTAGGCCTGCTACAGGCATAAACAAATTACTTCCACAATGGCTGGATGTCAACAAAGAGAAAATACTGTATGGGCCAGAATCCTTTATGCCTTGTTACGGCGAAATGTCTCCATTCCTGATGCGGATTTCTCGTGCCATCCTGCATGTCTCACAGATTCCGCAGCAAAAGGTCATCAAGGCATCATTGATTATTGTTCCCTGTGGTTAAAATATTGTAAAAAAATCACAACATGGAACACCAACCCTTTATGAGGAAATGAGCTGCAGTTCAGGTTTCTCAATTTCAGGGAACACCCAACATTTCACATGTTCATGAAATCTCTGGCTGTCGCAAGTGCCACGTTACTGAAAACAGGTCTGGCTTCCTGTAGGACACTTACAGCACCACCCAAAACATGAGCAAGGGTCTTCTAAAGAGTTTTGAATGTACAGTAATTAATTAGTAACTTACCTGAATACCATAGGTCAGTCTCATATGAGTCCTCATGGCAGTTAAGCCTCCTGGCAAACAACCCAAGCAGCAGTTTTCCCCATACTTGTTTGCTGTGTAGCAGCTCAATGCAATTGGACAGATGCAACCAAGAGCACCTGCACACAATAGAAGTGTATTTCATTGTGAATTTTTGAAAGAGAAAAATCATGTAAATGCCCGAGTGTGTGCTTGGTGTTTGGAAAATAATAATGTTAAATTTAAGCATCTTAAATGATAGGATACTCACAGACTAACATGTCACTGCAGCAGGAGCACAGGCCGGTGCTCCACTCTCCTGTTTGGACATTTGTCCCATAGCCGCCTGCACCTGGTTGATGAGTGACCACTGGGTTCGACATTTTTGATTACTGGATTTCTTGTAGTTTTTGATTTAGCTGCCTATAGGAACACCTTCAGTTGTTAGCATTGGAATAAAGAAACAACGCAGTTTGTGTCAGGTGGAAAAGCTGTAGGAGATATGACTAAAACAGTCTTTCCGTGTGCCACAATTGCTTTCACATTTTGTCATGAGTACTTTTATGTGATGCTATTAATTTCCTGACTTTGACTTTTCATAGAATGATTCAGATGTATAATAAATATATGCTAGTGCTCTCCATTGGAGAATTAGTCTAAAAGAGAAATAATGTGTAATTTATACAGCTCAATCAGCTTTCATAAATCTTCCTGCAAAGCATGTAATGTATCAACAAACATTTCATGGACGTCTTCTGTAACACAGAACAAGAAACTAGTTTGTGGCTTTGAGCTTTTGTGATTTACACACTAATTTATTGATCATTGTTTTGCATTTCTGGCATCTTAACCTGAAATATAACGTGTTTCAAGATAATCCTTCTGAACACAACCCGTTTATAACACCTTAGCTTCCCATCAACTAACATTGCTCAGAAAATATGTATATATGCCAGTATATGTATATAAATAATATAAGACTTGACTTGAAACATTGTAAATATTGCAGATTTCAGATAGATTGCTTCTTTCCCTTTAGGATTTTATCACTATATAAAGTCTATAGTTAATCAGGACCGTTCTAGATCATAATACTGGTATTTAAAAGTATGTTATTGTGACACAGACTGATAAATGTCACCATAGATAAGTATGAATGATCATACTATGAGCCATGTATGTAAACTATTACATACAAAGGGCTTAAAAATGAATATGATGGTATAACTTAACCTGAAGTACAAAAGAACATGTGACAGCCTATGTTATCTTGTATCAATGCTGTCAAAAATAATTTCTTGTGAATGTGCAACTTTTAAAAAGTACAAAATATAAATGCTTTGCAAATGGTTTATGAGCAGTATCAGTTTAACTAAATTAACGGAGAATTCTTAAGTTAATCTACTGCGAGAAGAAAAAAAGGTGTCACTTACCAGAAGAGTCTGTCAGTGTGCACTCCTCCTGATCAAACTGACAAGCTGCGCACCACACAGGAAGCTGTGACGAGCTTTAGCTGCGAAATGCTGGTTTGCCAACAAACTGCTATTTCTGAGGATGACAAACATCTATAGTGATTCGCTGACAAAAAAGGCCATTAACGAGAACTGCTACTTTGGTTTGAGGATGATAGAGGGTTTAATCACAAACAGATACAGATCACTGGCACATGTATCTGTTAAAAAGTGATGGCTTCAATTTAAATGGTTTTCCAATCTGACATATGATTAGCGCCGTTCAGAGAATTCACGGTTTAGACCATGCGTTCATAAACCAACCACAAATGCATCACGTCCCTTTTGTCATACAGCTTGAGGTTTTAACCAACCAAAGTCATGTCACTACTGCAGTTTCTCAAAGAATGGATGCATTTATTTAGATTTGAACCAGTACAAAACTACATGCGAGTACAGGGCTGCTTTTGTCAGTGTTCCAAGTCTTAAGTATGAAATAACTTGGAAGATGATTGGACATTTCCAAGATGATGGAGCCTATACATACAGTGCAATCCGAAACTAGTAATGCTTATATCTCTGAAATTTATTGTTGTTGTTATCCAGCATATTGGATATGAAATTGAATCGTGACCATATGGCAACAGTTTGAGGTGATGTACCAAATCACATTACTGTAAGATCCTTTTGATATTTGCACAAAATAAGAGACCCATTGCACTATAACGCAGCAACCCTATCAGTACATCCTCAAACAGGACTGATTTCACCAACACCTCTTAGGCTGCCAACAACAATGGAACATTATAAGCTTCTCATATGTCTTATTTCCTGCACTTTTGTGGTGAAGTCATCTTATTGTGCAGGTGTTATTGTTTCTATCTCCCGTTTCCACAAACACTTGACCACAAGCCAATCAGTGCTCCATAAAATTTTGTCATGTCACCAGATGTTATACTGACAAGTGTTGGCATAATGGTAACTCACAAATTCTGCATAAGGCTTGCAGAAATCTATCTAAACTAAATATTCTATTAGTTTCATAGTTTTGCCTCAGACAGCTGGTTGAAAAATATCAGCTGACATCACGACCAGGGTGCAACAGAATGGACATAGAGCAGTGCAGCAGTAGTTTCCTGTCACAGGTTTCAGTGTTGAGTCCTTTAAGATGCAGCCTACAGTGGAACATTCAGCAGTTTAGCCATTATGTGTAGCCAGACTGCCAAATTTCTCTTTATTATCTGGCAATTTGAGTTCCTTATTTCAGTTAATACCTCGCACAAGTGAGATCAATGGCCTGCCTCACTTGTTCTGTACAGATAAATATTAAACATATCTACTTGAGAGTCATATATTTCAGTACAAAAAGATTTCCAAAGTACATTTGGGTACAACTTTCTGGTGCATTTTATTTCCATTAAATTCTGACATCAACTTGAAAGCAAAAGCAAATATTGTATGATGGCAATACATGTTGTTTATGCACATGCCATGTTGTAATATACATTATTATTGTCTTTCATTGGGTGTCAACAGCTTTTGTCTTGGCTGCCTCTGTGTTTGCGGAGGCTAAACTTTGCTTCATCTTCAGCCTCTGCTCTGCTTTCTGCTTTTGCACTTCGTTGAAGACCTGAGAAGAGACGCACATGACCAAGTGTCAGTGGTGGCCCAAAATAACACCTTGTACATGTTGGCAAGTTAGAAGAGTGTACACGTTAACCTACACAAAGCCAGAGAAATGCTGTCAGACACAATACACATTATTGCTTCACTAGTGTGCAATGAAAGATATAGATATTAGATCTTATAGATATATATAATCTCCAATTGATACCATTATTATATACAACCAAAGAAAAACATTATACATATTCACACATACAAAGACTAATGGTGTAATTTGTTTGCTACCTTAATGCAGAAGGCCTTCTTGGCTAGCCAGCGGCGAGTGGCCCGTCTGTAGTACTCTGGAGGGAAGGTGTAAGTGATGCCCAGCTGCTCACACACTTTCTCAAAGGCATCATAGCGAACCAACCTAAGGTGTTTCAAAAGCTTTTTCCTTCGGTCAATGGCCATGAGCATCCGCCTCTTGTTAGCTTTGTCCTGGAATGAAATAAAACATAAAAGTCTGGCGTTGGGCTTATGAGGAAACACCTAATTACCTGTGTTAATTTCAACAAAAATGTTTGATGTAACTTGGAAATTTCCAACCATGACCGTGTTACTCATGTCCTTATTTAATGTGGGGGAGTACACAGGATATCCTGTAGAACACGCATGCCTTACAACAGAGGAAGGCAGAGAGGAAATGTGGGGAGACATACATCTTTCATACATGAATGTTCTAGTGGTGCAAGTCAACTGTCTGCCCTGTGGCATTCTACGTCATCTAAGAATTTTGATTAAATCTGTCCACAGCCTTCCTTTGCAGATGTACAGATGTACACAAGGATAGCATATTCTGTTTTCATTGTATATAATGTGTATGTATATTTTACATATTTCACTCTGATTTGATTATTGGTTCTACTTTCATTGTTTAAAATGAAGTTGAATTTCCCCTACAGTGGATCAATAAAGGAACATCTTATCTTCCCGTTTAGCTTGCAAGGGAACTCACCTTGTGATGTTTCTGCAAGTGCTCCTGATAGTTTCGGATTCTTGCAGTCAAAATTGCCACTGAAGGAAAAGACATTTAAAGGGGGACTGAATCAACATACAGTTAAACTACACTTTATCCTATCTTTTAATTTCAGTGAAAGCATTATATGCGACACGTAAAGCAACTCACCCTGAACTTCCACTGAGCTGCGGTCATTCTCATCCTTCTGGACTTTTGCAATGAGCTGTTCCTTTTTCAGCTGTAGCTTTTCACTCTGAAGATGTGAACACACACAGAGTAATAAACTACATGTTTATGACTTCTTTAAGTGGCAAATCAGTGCATGTTTCAAGAGGTAGAGAAAAAACATGACGAGGCGATCTGTGGGGACACGTGAACTCACATGACTCGCTAACTCCAGCGAAAGAAGTCTTTTGACGAGATCATCACTCCTGTTAAAAAATAGTGTTAGAAGATTATCAATCTAGTGAACATACTTACAATGGATATACAGTCCCCTTACCCAGTTTGCCTTACCATTCCAACACTTTTGGAGGGGACTGCACAGTGAATACTTAACCTAAATAAAATATTTACTCATTTCATGTAAGTGTATGCATGTTTGTTTACGTTTGAGCGAGGGGTACAGATGCATAATCCATCTTCAGCATTGTTGGTGGAAGATCACTGAGCTGGCTCTCGGGGCCTGGAAGAAACAGGTTTGGATGAAAAGTGAGCACTTCAAAAATGTCACAAAGTGGACAACGCAGCCTCATAACATACCCGTCTTCTTTTTCTTTGCAGCCCGAGCATAATGTCTAACTGGTGGTGGAAGAGCAAAGCCTCCTGCAACTGAGAGAGGAACAGAGAAAAAATAAATAAAATAAATGTGTAGTGAGTGGGCAAAATGATGGAAACACCACAATAAAACTAAGAGATCATAGTTAATTTGAGCAGTTGAAGCCTGAAAAATAGGTGATGGAATGGGATCTAATGTTGTCAGACACACAACAAATGGGCTCAGCAAAGGATCAGTGGTTGCCAGTCGAAGTTACTATAGAACTGAATCAGCACATCTGTGGCACACTTTCTTTTTTTTTTTTTTTCTCTGTGACACACTTTCAATCAAAATGCAGGTTTGTATATCAAGATGTGCACAGGAAATCTAAATCTAGACAATAGTAAAGTGTAGCAACAGTATGTTGTGATGCTAGGCCCTGGCCTGTTTAAACAATACTGAGTCATATTCAAAGAAATCTAAGATAGCTTCACCACTCAACATGTCAATCTGTAATAATGCTGCCATCTTCTTATTAATTCCAATGGGTTAATTAAACATAATAGCAAGGAAGATAAATAGGACTTAAAGTTAGTATTGACACTTACAGGACCAGGACCACAGACGCCTATATTCCAAGATGATACTGCCCTTTGAGTGTAGAGTGCCTGCCCCCATTTGACATCATTGTAAGTAGGACTAGACCCTGTTCTAAAAGATTTCACTGACTGGCAGCCCAAAAATAAATGGCAGCAAGATTTCTAACATAATCTGTACAACATACATCTGTATTAGTCCTTCAGTTTGGGGAAGAGGCTACTAAATAGCAGACACCAAGGGGACAAGGTAGACAAAAGTCTGATGATGATGAGGCCAACTTTCTTTCGATCGAATCCTCACTTAATTTTGATCTGAGCAGAAGTACGGTCTAAGTGATTTTCACTTACATCCTGCATGTGGAAAAAACTTTCTGCTAGTGACCAAACCCAAAACCAGAAATTATTATTTGCCACTTAGCATGAATGAGATCCTGTCTCCATTGCTGCATGTTTAACATTTCTCTTCTATCCTATCAGAAGAAATTAACAGGATGATGATACAACATGTTTAAAGTGCGTGACACGAAGAGCACAACCCAAGATAATCTGGATAACATGGCTGCCACACAGCCCTGATAAAACACAACTACGCATTTATCTTGTGGTGTGATAACAGCGGTTTTCAATATCAATATAATCAAAACACTAAATGATGCAATTTCCTCAAAACACTGGTGCTTAATTCCTCCATCGAAAATCCAGACTTACATTATATTATCAAAGGTTTTGGGTCGCCTGCCTTTACATGCACATTTAATGACATCCCATTCTTAATCTGTAGGGTTTAACATGGAGTTGGCCCACCCTTTGCAGCTATAACAGCTTCAACTCTTCAGGGCTGTCCACAAGGTTTTGGGAATTTTTGACCATTCTTCTAGAAGTGCATTTATGAGGTCAGGCACAGATGTGGGACGAGAAAGTCTGGTTTGCAGTCTCCGCTCTAATTCATCAAGGTGTTCTCTCGGGTTGGGGTCAGGACTCTGTGCAGGTCAGTCAAGTTGTCCACACCAAACTCGCTCATCCATGTCTTTATGGACCTTGATTTGTGCACTGGTGCACAGTCGTGTTGGAACAGGAACAGGCCATCCCCAAACTGTTTCCACAAGGTTGGGAGTATGAAATTGTCCAAAATGTCTTGGTATGCTGAAGC